ATTGGGTTGTCTGCACTAACGTTCTGTTCTTTTAGCAATTCAAAAGTGCCGTGAGTCCCTTGCCAGTGACCTTGCCAATGCAACGGTCATCTCATCTCTTATTACTGTGTTTCTGTTTCTATTGTTTTCTGAAAAATGTTTTCAAATTTAAGCTGCATAGATAATGTGAAATCTGGGCTAGCCAAAATACCTTTATCCAACGGGTTCGTAAAGAAGATAGCCTATTTTCGCTATCAAGGCCCCTCATCTGCCGGCTGGACTGTGTCACCAACAATCCACCAACAGCAAGGTGGGGACAGCTGGCCTTTTCTCAGAATCTGAACAGGTGCGACATTAATGTCAGAAAAACGTACGATCTTCTCAGCGGTTTCTGTCTGTGTTGAAGTGTTTCACTAACACTGGACACGAGCAGCAGTTTGTCAAAGAAGAACACGTCATGATGTCGAGGGTACGCCACCGAGCGGCGACGACCGAATTCAAACTACAGTTTGTAAATTTAAAAAAAACAAAGCAAAAGAAACAAAACAGTCAACATTTGTTTTATTGTTTTTGCAGTGAATACAAAATAGTTTTGCAGGTATAGGAACATAATAATACTTATAATATAATCTAACTTACAAGGTGCCAAAAGATATTCATTTCTGCTTTTATATGCCAATTTTCATTGAAATTTTGTCCCGTGGTCCCAGTTTATTTAAGGTAAATTTTCGTTATTTGTTTGCTCAATTAAAGGAAAATTGAACTCTAGGTTGCAGCTTTGAATTTGAAGCAAACATTTCAAACGTGTAACTCAATCTTGAAGAGATTCATTTATTAAGATCGGAATTTTCAAAAGCGTTATACAACTAGACGCACAATATTTTTTTTTAATGAATTTTCTGAAAAGGGCTGGACAAGATCACGGTCAAAAGACATCCCAGATTTCATTGCCACAACGAGTTCTGGTCCATGGACGATCTTTTCAATGAAGAGAAAGATCCGTCATTTGGGGACAACTCTAGATCTTAGAGTTGAAATCTAAAATTGAAATTAAGTTTCAACTTTTACTAGTTGCTTTTTAAAAAAAATTCAAAATCCTTTTTTAAATCTGCCTGGCCGTTGCTGATCAAGTGTCCCAAAACTTCAGCAGCAGTCACAACTAACAAGAGATTGAATTCGGGGAGTTTCGGAAGGGGGGTGATTGTAGCCGTCGCTTTCCTTCTATTTTGACTTTTATTTCGTGGTCTGCAGCAATGGCCCAGCAGAAAGAGAGCTCAGGCCCACACGTGATGGAGAACAATATCGGGAACACGTCTTGAAGGTAACTGCTCACGGGAAAGGAGATTGGGGGGGAGGAAAAAGGTTTGACCACATTTCCTAATACCCTAACAAGTAAATTCACCAGGAGCGTTTCCCCTGCACAAGAAGATATTGGAACTTTCCGGCAAAACTATGTCACCCAGGACCTACCCGTGAAAAGTGGCACTGAAGGCTTATGTGTGACATTCCTTTCAGTCTCAACCTATGGCCCACTAGTTTTTTCTCTCTGACCACTTGTTATAGTTCGTCTACATCTTACCTCGGCCACACCCGCGACCACACGCCCCTTCATCCCCTCCCCGGACTCTCTCATAGGTCTAGATCTATCTCCAATCTCCAGTATGGGGTGATCTGGAATAACGGTTTCTATGTAGACATTTGGCGAATGTCAATGAAGTCTGTCCAGATCAATGCGATTGTCATCTGACAGCGAGTGAACTAGATCTAAGTACTCTTGAGCTGTGTTTGCTCGCACCCGTCCGTCTGGACGAAGTGATATAGGCACGGACATACAAAAATTTTATTTACACATTGCAGTCAACACTGGGAGAAAAAGCCTCATCATTAGAATTTATTGATTCTATTCGAGGCTTACCATGAACTTATCATGAACACACCAAAACTGAACCTTTAGACTAAAATGTTCATAAAATGATTCTTGGACACCTCTTTGAACTTGGCGAAACGACTATGTCTAACCCCGAATCCCACCTCGCTCCTTTTCATTCTCCTTCTCTCTATTTCAAGCTTGTCTCCCTCTCATAAACACACACACACACACACACACACACACACACACACACACACACACACACATGCACATTCACGCATACACTTACATACAGCCAAACAACCACTCACACACACACGCATACACGTCCTCAAATATGAAAACCCATTTTCCTTGAACTTTAAGACGAAGTTCGTAAACCGCTTTTTTTTTCAAAGACAAAGTATCTGGTTCCCTAAATGTAGACTCGGGCGTGGTTACATAGTTCAGTTATGGAGCAGACTTGGATGTGGCTCAGGGCATGATTTAGTGATGGTGATTCTCTCCCTCTCCTGTATTTTAGCAGACTGCGAAACTCAACTAAGTCGTGAAATTGACCAGCGAACAATTTAAAAAGTCAATCATCTGTGTTTTCATAACTCAATAGGTCTTTGACTTATGGAACGTCGTAGCCCCAGAAAAATCATCGGCCGGTGTTTTCCCTTGCAGAGATAAGTTACATCTCCAATGGTGGATACATCGTAATATGGACTATTTCCGCCTTTCTTGTGGGCTGTTGTTTCCCACATTTCACGTTAGTCCGACTGGCAGGGATGAAGCAGTCCGCCTCCTAAATTATCAATATTGTCCTTATAGGGGTCCAAAACATGAACAGTCAGTGCCCGTCTTTTCTAACCTTTGCCGGCGACTTTATTCTTGCCCCCCCCCCCCCCCAAAAAAAAAATAAATATTTTTTTAATTTTAAAATCAGAATTTGAAGCAGATCAATCCACCACCAGAAGTTCTGTCCTGGTTTATTGAAGTCTTAGCAAACATCAAACTCACTAAGGCTTCTGCGTTAAGTAATCATGTTTATTCATACGTGTCCAATACTTTCAAAATTCACGTCTCAATCTCTGATTGTCTCCTGGTGGATTTCAGTCCTTTAACAAAATAATATTCAGCTCACTATTATTGTACTACCAAACTCTACAGTGTTGCGGCAAACAAAATCAATAGCTTAAATCTAGATGCTCAGAACTCGCTGAGGTTTTGCGTTCAGAACAGTTGAGATTTGGCACATTTTATGTCAATAAAGAGAGCTAATCAGTTTCGCCTGTTCAAAACAATCTGATGTCTCCCTTTAATTATAGTACAAATGTTTTGTAATTTTTTTAAAGTTTTGCCAATAGTCAAAACCGCGGATTAAAACTACACTTATAAAAAAACGATTCGTAGATGTTTGGACTACTTATATAACTTTGTTTGGCATATTATATGAAAATGTTCTTCTGTGATGTCTACGAGGGTTTTCCATAGTGTCACACTCTGTGTACGGTTTCACTGACACAATGACAGTTTCTGTCATTTAATGTGTCGGCCGGGACAGAGAGACGCCCTACTAGATTAATTTTATTCAACGCCAGATACGTCGTGAGAAAAAATGAAGAGGTTTCAAGATTTGCCTTATAGCAAAACACGTAAGTGCCAAAAGCATTTATAGTTTTATATAGAGTGTCGAAGGAAAGCTATACATGTCAATATGACAGGTATAAAATTTTGGTACAAGGTCAAAGATACATGTCAGCTGTAGAGCATGGTATGAAGAGACACTCAGACAGGCAAACAGACAGGTGTAATAGTATATGTATTATATGTATATATGTTATATATATGTAAATGTATGCATAAACTCATCATTTCAAAGCGAGAAAAACAGGTGCACGTTTATTTATTTGTCTTTTTACATTGCCATTTACAAGTATTAGAGATATGTCTTGGTAATCAGATGGCGTTAGATGGATAGATAGATAGATAGATAGATAGATAGATAGATAGATAGATAGATAGATAGATAGATAGATAGATAGATAGATAGAATATCTGCGGACAGAGAAAGTGAATCCCAGAGAGAAAAAAGATAGATGGAGAGAGAGGGGGAGAGTGAGAGACAGAGACAGAGACAGAGAGAAAGATAGAGAGGAAGAGAAAGAGGAGAGAGGAAGAGAAAGAGAGAAAGAGAGAGAGAGAGAGAGAGAGAGAGAGAGAGAGAGAGAGAGAGAGAGAGAGAAAGAGAGAGAGAGAGAGAGAGAGACTGAAATAGAAAAAAGGGCCGGGGGAGGTCTTGGGGTTAAAGTAAGTTGTATGAAAACCTTTGCTTCAGTTATTTAGAAGGGCATATGTACGTAGGTTTTTACAGCCCCGTCGACATAATTTAGATTATTCAAAGGGCGAGCTTCCTACCCGGCCTATGAGGGCTAATCCAGGTTGAGAGAGATACAACATCCCAGCAGAAAAAACGAGATACTTAATGATAAATTTGTCTCAACTCGGGAATCGAACTCGGGTCTCCTGCATGCGAGAGCGAAGTGCCTAATCGCTGCACCACAGACGCCGGATTTTGCTTCAGAATGAAGTGGGCCTCTCTGTTGTGGGCTTAGAGTTTGATATACCAGCAGATTGTGTGTTAATTGGTGCCATCTTCAGGTCAAAGCGACACCCATTCAAGGATAGAATAAACATGGGATAACCACACATTTGTGGGAGCATCTCATCATTCATACATTGAACAAAACAAGGAAAAGAATCAGGCATCGAACATCACATCGTGCAATAATGTAATATGTACAGCACTGCCTTTTGAATGGAAAACCAAGTATACGCGTATTTGTGTTTAAAAATCAACTTTATAAATTTAAGATTATGTGAGCACACTGGAGTCGGCGCTATGAAAATCATCATCATCATCATCATCATCATCATCATCATCATCATCATCATCATCATCATCATTATTTTTTATTTAAGTGAAAACGTACACAAATGGCTATCTAGGTTAGGAATCAATATCTCTATTCAATTACTCAAAATTTTAAAGAGTAGTTGTCTTTTTTCGAGAAGTGACAAAAGGGGTCTAATTGGGTTGGGGCTTTTTTGTCGGATACAAAGTTTTCGATTCAAATGGCAGAGTAGTATCAAATAGGTATTTAAAAAAAACAGAAGCCATTGCTGTCTTCAATGTGTACTGTACGCCTACTCGCTACCTTAGAATAACAAAGTCTTTTCTGCTCAGTACCCAGTTTTGAGCAACTTGTGGTCAAATTTTTGAGTTTCATAAAATGTCAAGCGTATTCGAACGTAATTCTTTGAATACCTTGATAAACTACTCTGAATAATCTTTTGAGTTTGGCAGAGCAGATATAGATCTAACATACTGGTTTCTGGGCTTATGGTCTCAGTAACTAAAAACATTTTAAAATGTCAGAAAGAAACTTTGTAATTCTGAGGTAGCGAAATTGCTCATCGCAATACAGACATCAGAGATTATAGATTTTGTTAATTAATAGCCACCTTTCCCCATAGACTGCAGACGCTGCATACATGATGTAACGGCGTGTCACGATGTCACGCTATTATGTAAAAGTAACGCCGTTACACAATGTTAAACACCGACAAATTGTATGTAGGAAAAGTAATTAATCCGCTAGGAGCGACTAACAATTAGCCCCAGTACTTTTTCAAGAATATTAAGGCAATCATTGACACATTAATGACTATTTTTAACAATGCCAAAACAATTAAAGTAAAACGTAACGTTGTTTTCTTTAACATTCTAACCTCTTTACTGTAAAAAGCTGCATTCTTAACTTTTTTTTTAAAACAGCATTAAAATAACAACTGTTACAACTGTTGGCCAACAACTTGGATATTTTGAAGGATGAAAGAGTCCTCTGATGGTATCAGTGATTATAAGAACAATAATAACAAAAAACAGTATGCTAGTATGAACGTGAAATGATAATACTTATATAATAAAAACATCTATATTGTAACTGTTACAAAAACAATGTAACAGAAAAGTGTCAGACTGAAATGACAACAGTTTTGAAATAGAAGTTTCAAATTTGTATAAGATACCCAAAACATCGAAAACAGAACAATTACAAACTGTCATGTGACCACTTGTCTTTTCTAATATGTTGATTTAGTATTTTTACTCTTTCCTATCTCCAAGAGGTGCTATTATTAGACATTTTTCAGCTTTAAAAGCTAATTCTAAGTTCAGTGAACAAATCGGAACAGCAAAGTCAGTGTTCTTTCTTGAAAGCAAGGTTCATTTAAAAGCTCACAGGAATGCCGTTCAGAATTAAATCTATCAAAAACTCATTGACTGATGTTCAAAAGTAAATCTTAAAAACCTCACAGGCATGCGTTCGAAAGGAAATCAATCTTTTAAACCTCCATGGCATGTCATTCGAAAGAATATCTTTTTAAACGTATTGGCATGGGGCTCAAAAATGAAATCTTTAAAAGCTCATGAGCATTATGTTCAAAACAAAACCTTTAAAACCACATACACATGCCTTATGAAAGGAAGGAAATCTTTAAAACCTCATGCCGCTCGAAAGAAAATCTTTAAAAACTCATTGGCATGATGTTCAGAAGGAATATCTTTAAAACTCGTTAGCATACCGTTCAAAAAACTCCTAGGCATGGTGTTCAGAAAGAGATCTTTCTTGCTGCGGTCCTAGGTCTGATTTCTCTTGGCCTGGACACGCCACTGTTCTGCTCAACACTTTGGAAAGTTCTCAGAATATCTCAGCTGGTGAGAAGGAACAACGTCTTCAGGCCTCCATCAGCCCGCCATTTGGTCTGTCAGTTGCATGCCAGCTTGTTGGCTCAATTGTCCGGATGTCAATTGCCCGGTTGTCAATTGTCCGGGTGACAATTGTCCGGTTGTCAACTGTCCGGGTGACAATTGCCCGGATGTCAATTGTCCGGTGGTTAGTTGTGACATGCCGACCTGTGACGCCAAATTCATCCCTGGGCTTATTTGAGAGTTAGCACCCAGCATTTGGCTGGTTGCAGTATTCCCTCCTGGGTTAGTCGACACCAACATCTGCCCGTTCGTCTGTTGTCCCAACTGACTGAGGCCTGTCGCCATGGCAGTCCCGACCGTTGGGGTCGCTTCGGAGGGAGACAGGTACTGTTGGTTGTTGGTCAAAGTCATCTGGGTGGGCAGGACGCCGGCCATTTGGTCTGAAACAAGACAAGAGGCCTAGGTCAGTTCATGTTCCCTTTATCTTTTCTTTTTATAAAATCAACAAACCTCCCAAACCCAGCAAAAATCCGTCATTTTGAAATGCCCAGTTATTTGTCCTTCAGCTGAATTTAGAACACACTTCTTTGCATGCATGCGCATTCCGTAAGTTGAGGTTCCGAGTTTGCTTGCTTGTTGGTAGTTTGGCCGGAGTTTACAACAGTACTAGTGCGATAAATCGTTCCTAAGACAGAACATGCTTGCAAGGGTTAGAATAACGATGTTGGGAGGAGGAAGAACGAAAGAAGATCACAGCAAGATATAGTTACGGGCCAGCCTTACACAGACCACAGCTAGAATTACGGGCCAGAGTTACACAGATCACAGATGGAATCACACGCCAGTGTTACACAGACCAATGATAGAGTTACAACTCAATGTTACACAAACCTCAGATAGAGTTACGAGCGAGTGTTACACAAACCACAGAGAGATAAAGTTACAGAGCACAAGTTGCACAGATAATAGATAGAGCTACGGGCCAGTGTTACACAGACCACAGATAGAGTTAAAGGCCAAGGTTACACAGACCAATTATAGAGTTACAGACTAGTATTACAAATTACACAGACCAGAGATAGAGTTACAGGCTAGTATTACACAGACCAGAGATAGAGGTACAGGCTAGTATTACACGGACTAGAGATAGAGGTACAGACAAGTATTACACAGACTAGAGATAGAGTTACAGACTAGTATTACACAGACTAGAGATAGAGTTACAGACAAGTATTACACAGACCAGAGATAGAGTTACAGGCTAGTATTACACAGACCAGAGACAGAGTTACACGTCAGGGTTACACAGACCAGAAATAGAGTTACAGGCTAGTATTACACAGACCAGAGACAGAGTTACGCCATCTTGGGTCACTGACTGGGCCCACCTGGTTGTTGTGACAGGACCAGACAAGATGTCAACTGTCGGTCCTCGGGGGAACATGCCAGGTACGCAACATAGACACAAGCAATGAATTATAGTTGTTATTTAACAAAGACAGCGAGGGACACAGATAAAAGACACGGGGGAGGGT